CCCCCATTCTACAACATTGGTTCATTGGCAAAGTTGGTGTTTTGAGCAAAAAGGGGCATTAAATTCCTAGTAAACATGCTCAGAGATGTTGGGCAAACTGTGTAACTAGTAATCATCCTGGTAATTCAGAGTTGAAGCCATTGACATTAGAAATCAGGAAATTTTTCAGTACCTGTCTTTGCACACTTGTTTTACAGCTATTTTTTAGAACAAACAGAATGATTTTCTCTTCTGATTAACCTCTCCAAATAGTTAAAAATTTATAGTCAATTTGCAACAAACAGACTAGCCATACTTTCAATTTTTTGAGCAATAAGGCAGATGGTACATTTGTGGGCAATGTTTAAGAATATGGAAACTGAAGAATTATGGGCTTTACAATGGGCATTAGATGTACCTTATATTTATGACTAATAGCATCATTGCTGCATCATACATGTCAGATGTTTGTTAACATTGTATACAGATCATACAGTGATTTTACAGTGTGAATAAAGGAAAAAGTATCTTGAGTGTGTGTATGTTTTTCTGTAAAGGGAATGCTATGAAAGCCGTTTCTTACAGGGGAAGTTCTGTTTATCCACCACCTGTAAAGAGTCCAGTGCAAAGTAAAATTACACAGAACAAAAAGTTGCAAAAATGGTTTAGAAAACATAATCATATAAGATCTTTAGAAATCCAGTAATTATGCATGTTCAATAAATTTAGGAACACTAAAAGCCTGTTCTCTCTAGAACTCGAACTTGGGTAGATGTTATCTTGAACTACATGTGTAGTGTAGTTGCCAACAGGCTGCAGTACTAAGAAGAGGGGGAGTTACAGTCATCTTAACTCTATTGTGTTTTATGGCACTGCATGTATGAATGTATCTGTATGGGATAAATAAATTAATAGTTGAAGAAGTTTTCCATCTTGTGGAAATGATTGCAGATTTCTAGCAGTACGAACTCCACTGACATTCATGAACTATCAATGCAGTCTAGACTGTGAAATAGCATTATCTGGACTGAAAACAGTTGTGTAATAGAAAAACATTAGATAGCCTTACATAACGGCTAATGTATCTAAGAGTAACTTACCCATGTAATTTTAGAATAATCCAGCTATAGCTATCATTTTGAAATATTAATGCCTATTGTTCAAGTTTCACATAGCAAAAGATTAGACAGGAGGGAAAAAAAATACATTTTTTTTCCTAATTCTATGTATTTTAACAAATCATATTTCCTGTTGCACTAAGTGTTTGGGTAGAGCACTAGAAAAAAATGGAGTGGGAGAAAAACCCTCTGCCCTGATCCTCTGATGAAGTACTCAGAAAAGATGAATCTGATGCTGTTTTGCCTAATATTCTAGGGACAACACCTGAAATACAGTAATAGCTGGAAAGTATTACACTTTTAAGAGGCATTCTTTACTGCCTCTTTTTACCAGGAACTAGAGCAATGTAAGTGTAAAAAGAAAAAAATCCTATGTCAGGAGAGAGCTACACCTGGGAGATATTCAATGTATTCTCACTGAAACAATGTTATTTGTTGGGCAGCATGTCCATTGATAATGAGATTCAACGTTTCAAGTTGTGAATAGACAGAAAAACTAAATTTCAGGATTGGTATTAATCTCTGAAAATTGTATTATAAAATGTAAATTAAAATATATCAAACTATAGCAATCAGTAATACTGTATTATTTTTATAATACTGTAATGCTGGCTTTATACTTGCCAAGCAGCAAAATGATATTATTAGTCAATATTCTTGTTGCTCAGTGTTCCAACTAGATCGTATGGTAGCAAAATCCTAACATTAGTATCAAGTAACACAAAATCCCAACCAATGTTAAACATCTATAAACTATAGTATATAGGAAATCAAATTAAACTTTAAATTCAATTTATACTATTTACATTTGTGCTCTCTTGGATTGTCACATTCAATACTGTAGAGTACTATGAACTAGAAACGCAGGACTCAAGTTCTGCCTATGTAAATTTGGAGTCTAAACCTACAGTGTTTTTTCAACTTTTGAAGTTTGTAAGGTACCCGAAGTTTTTGGGGCAAAAGCATCTTAATTTTACCAATTCTGAGTTGTTTACCTAGCTGAGTCAAGTCAGTATTAATGGTGTTTCACTTCATGAGTGGCTCAGTGTGACAGCTCTTTTCCAAATATGCTTAGAAGACAATGCAAAAAAAAGAACAGTGGCATGATGTATTTTCTGCAATAATTCTGACCATAAATACTTGCCAAAGATACAAGACAGTGATTCAAATCCCACTGATGTGTGGCAGGGCTCTAACTCAATTTCTCTTAATTCCCATCAAATGTTAGGTGTGCAGCTCTATCCCAACAAGCTCTGTGTCCAGTCCCCGTTCTGCAACAGTGGCAATGTTCATGAGCAAGCATGGTGCCCTTTCTCCTAGGAGCAGCAGCCTCCCTCTGGGCTGGCCAGCACTAGTGAGGAGGGCTGGTGTCTGGAAAGACCTGTGCTTCACAGTAGATAAGGTGTCTTGGAATACCAGTTGGATCACACACCACCAGGTTATTTATGGGATGAAGCAACTTCTGATGAGGTTTGTCCACTTTATTAAGCCGAAGTCAGTAAAGGTATTTTAGTCCAGTGAATAGGGTAATACCTGGATGCCTCATCCCACTACACAGACTTTTCCCCCAGGTTTTGCATTAGAGAAAATGTGAAAAAAGCTGCACAACACTGTGCTCTGTAGCATTACATCTAAACCTATTTGTAATTCCAGCTTTTTTTTACTTCAACTTAATTGGCTCAGGGTTTTAACAATAAACAAAAGGAAAAAAGGTAGCCTGTTCATGTGAGTGTAAACCATGATAACACCAGCAATGGGTACTCTGGCGTTACTTTCTCTTTAAACTCCTTGGTCAGCAACAGCAACTGCATTAAGATTTTTCTTTTTTTCTGAAAAATATGGGGAGAAAACCTCCAGAAAGGCCAAGAAATATGCTGTACATTTAAAAACAGGTTGCAAGATATGTTCTAGCTTATGTGATGGATAAGTAAGAGTCAATCACTTACCTGAAAAAAGCTGTGTAAAGCTTTCATTCCATTTAAATTAGGGAAAAACACTCCCACTAGGTTCATTATGAATTTTGAAAGTGCAGTTCTGTCCTTCAGCACTGTCCCATCATAACTGCATTCAGGCTTACAAGTATTTTAGTTTGATAGTAGTATATTGCATTATCACAGTTACTTTTATAAAACTTGTATTTTTATAAAACTTGTATTAACAGTATTAAAACTGTAACAACTTGACACGAGTGATAAATGGCAGTAAAGCATTTAAAATAATTTTTGATTTAAACAGATTCCCATCTCTCTAAACACTGGTTCAGTGTTTGAATTTTCCATATTCGTATTTCATACAGGTCAAATAAAAGTGACTAAAGCATTTAACAAAAAAAGTTTATTACCAAAATACAATATTAAAGTCAATACGTGACAAACTCCTGTAAAGCAAAATAAATTATTCTAACATTGTACAGTATTTCAGAAGGTAGTTAAAGTAGTACTACAGACTTTGCTTCATAGTTCCAAACAGTCGTCTATCAGGAACACAATCCTAGAGACAGCTTAAGGCATGCAGCTTAATGTGCTGGATAATTTTATAAAATGAAAGTCATCCTATTTAATAAGATACAGTATCAGAATTAACTGCAGTCTTTACATGTCAGTTTTCTAAATTTTTTATACTTTGGCTATAAAAGCAGTGCCATAGTGTTACAATACCTTTTCTTAAAAAAATACATGTACCCATGTCCATGAATATCAAATGCAAATGTAAATTTCTATTAAATATATCTTAACAAATGTTACTTTGAGCACCAACTGTACATTTTTTAAAATGATTAAACAAGTGCTTCTGAAAGAGGAAAATACAATAACTCTGACTGAATTCCACTCTATTTTTCCAGCCCAAGCATAAATCAGAAAGATGAAATATGCACCTATTTATCAGTATAGTCTAATATGAATGAAGTTTTCTCTTTAGTAGAAGTATAGGCATTTAAAACAAAGCTGCAAGTTACAGTTTGTATCGCAGAATAAAATCTAATTTAAACAAACAGCAAGTGAATAGCTGATCATCTGACAGCACTGTGACAGAAGATCCAAAAATATTTTAAAAGCTTAAAGAAAGGGGAAGACTGCAGTGTTGGTGACTCTGAAATGTGCTTAAAAACCCTTACATAACATGCAACCAAGCCATACACTTCTAAAGCAGATAACCTGAGGAATAATTTGCTTTCAGAAAAACTAAGTGTATAATTACTTCACATGCAGAACTTCTGATAAAGTCCATGGGAACTGAGTGGGCAACTAATGGCAAGCAGCATGGAGACAGCTAAAACAAAAATAAATTTCTGTGCATATGGGAAAGAATTATTTGTTGGCATTTGTTAGAATTCATAATGGTTTTCAGAGGCAACTAACTTTCTACTGTTTTATAGAATCACATGGTCAAAAAAAAAAGCAACAAGATGGCAAACAACTGTGAATAGATGTACCCTGTTCAGTAATCCCATTACAATGAGTCCTTGTGCACCATACTTAATGCTGCAAGTGTGGCTTGCACATACACCAAAATGGGTAATTTTGATTCAAGGTTACTTCCTTTTAAGTCTTGGTTCATTGTCATCTCCTTCTTAGCTTATGAATGCAAGTTTTTCAGCTTTTCATCTTTCATTAGCTGAGAAACTTTGAAATAATGATCCCTTTACACAAAAATAACAATATGGCAAAGTACTGTTTCTGTGAATACTTACTGGTAGTTTAGCATTACTATGGGTCTCATTATAACTTTAATTTTTTCAACAAATGGGATCTCTGAATAAGAAAGGTGAGATATATTCCAGATAATGTACTCTTTTCACATGAATTCTATACTGAAGGTAAAATATTGGTGTCAGTAAGACAGTATGAATATCCCATTAAAAGTTTACTATCTCTACCTGAATTTGAGCTCATGTAAATAAAGAATGTTTTTCAAATATAAAATTCAGCTGTAGGAATCTGAAAAATAACTTTTAAATGACAATAATGTATTTTCCACTTCTAGTCAGTGATAGCACAATAGACTGCATACTACATATGCCCCCTTCTTACATTAACAGTTGTAGCTTATTTCTGCTAGCAGAAATGTATAAATAAAGTAACCATAAAATACTGTTTTTCTAAGAGTAAGTAATTTTTAAAGTAATGAGTTACTAAAAATCAGGTAACTGCATCCCCATGACAGGAACTAGGCATGCTTCTGTGCATCTGCCATTCATTAAAAGCAGAAATACATGCCCAAACTAGGAAGTTTAAACCTGGCTGCTAAAGGGCTTCTTTGGATGTGCTACTACTTCACCGGATTGAAGCATATATTTCAATTTAAGTAGCCAACTTTATAAATAACCTCAACAAAACTGCCAGGTAATTAGCCAGTATAACAACATTCCAAACTGATACACAGATCAATGTCTTGTACTGCAAACTGCTGTAACTGTAAGAAAAAAAAAACCAAAAACAACAAAACCAGCACTGTAATTTTAGAAGCTAAAAGCTTTAAACCAGAGAGATTTCTATGTGTTTCTTAGAAAACAAAGTAATCCCTAATTCCCTTTATGAATCCATATTATATGCACTAGTAAAATTTATTCTACAAGTGACTGGATACAGTTTTTGCTTAAAATATTGTTTGCCTTTTTTTTTTTTTTTTTATTATTATTTTCTACAGGAAGATTACTCTATCTTTCAGTGAATTATTTCTACAGTTACAGCTCTGCCAGAAAAGTGGGAAATTTAGACAGCCAGTGGGATTTCAAAGAACTCCAAAGCATGTAGACATTTCTCAAAATCCCACTTTGTGCTCACCTACATTTTTAGGATTCTGTACAAATTTAATCTACATCTCTTTGTGGCAATATCTTGTTCTCATCAAGAAACATTGCTCATACATACGGCAAAGTAATCACCACAAATTAAAAGTGACCTATGATAAGCTTTTTTTTTTTTAATAATAGCTCTGCTGAACGTGTCAAGAAAACTGTTAAGAAACAGCAGGTCATTATTATAAAGGATCTTTTACACACTATCAATTCAAAAGATAGAAGTTTTTTAGTTAGGATCCAAATAGTTATTAGCAAAATGCATCTAGGCTCCTCAGCTCCTGCTGCTCTAAAACGATAGAAAGGACAGCAGTCTGCTGAAGGACATCTTGGGAGTTTGTAAGTCCTTAAGACGAGATTGGGAAAAATCAAACACCTGTGTGTGCATTCAAGCACACACACGCCCTCACCCACATCCTCTCCCCTTACCTTCCAGAATCCAGGCAGTGGGGTTTACGAGACCATATTATAAAATTGACTCTGCTGCCAGTTTCAAAAACGAGGGTAAAAAAGTTCTTTGCTGAAATACTTGGAAAACAACAAAGAGGGAGGCAGAAAAAATACTTTTCAATTGATACAAAGCTTTCATACCTTTGGGTTTTAACATAGTGTATGAATGCATTATTACTGACTAGTACCTGACAACAAAAGGAAAAAAAACCCAAGACTCCTACATTCTTGGCACCATACAGGTGAAAATGGATTGTTCTATTCCCCACTCCTTATATTTATCTCCTAAATGATTCATCGGTCCCTGGTTAAAATATTGTACTCCTACTGAAACAAGGACTCAGGATGGGAAATCAAGTTTTGCTTGCAATTATTATCTTTAGCAAGTTTTCTCAGGCAAAAATTAGCAAACAAAGAAAATATTCATTCTATGAAACCCTCCCTTTAACTTACTGCTTCACCTAGTTTGTACTCTGAGTTGTGCTGTGGTCCTTATTTAGAATGATGTTTATGATTTCACCCTCATGTTCTTTCATATGATCAAGCAGATTTTCTTTGTTGGTAGACTCAAAACCACAAATGCAGCAGCAGAAGAGAAGAACACAGTATTCTGTGCCAAGATGGGGTAGAGTGGAGTTCTTTTCTAAACTGGATGAGGTATTCATCAAGTTAGGTTTTTCATTTTCATCAGAACCTGAAATTTCATTTGTAGTCTGGTTAATAGACTCTGTAAGAGACACTAAGTTGTCTGAAATTCCTAGTATAGGTACTGTACTTTCATCTGTGCCTTCTAATAAGGTTTTGTCAGGAAGCTGTCCTTGAAACCTGAAATAATAATAAAACCCCAAAGAATATCAAAATGTAATTGTTGCTTTTTGACAGGAACTTTATCTTTGATCATTGGGTCCTTTGAAAATTCTAGATGGTAGGGATTGAAAATAAATCGGACATACCTGCTGCTTTGTGAAATGGCATCATTAATAGCCTTGTTCACTTGTTCATAGTTATAATTTTGGTCACTTGCATGTTTCCACATGTGGGACTTCAGAGATGGAGGATGGCTACATACATATCCACAAAGAGAACATCTAGGGGAAAAAAGAAAGGGAGAAGGAAAAAGAGAAATATTTAGAAGTTAGGTTTTATTAGTTTAGTAATGGATTAGTTCTAAAAGGATGAGTACACAGAGAGAAACAGTCAATCCTCTTCTTGGTCCCCCTTTTCAGTTTCATGGCTAGGTCAAGTTAGTTTGCAAAGTTTCATTTCATTAGGGTCTGAGAAATGTCAAGTTTGAGTTTTCTGACTTCTTAAAAGAGTTAAAATCTTATCTGTTTGGCCTGTTAAAACTGTTTAAATACTGCAAAAATGCAATAGTTCTAATGACTGCAGAAACAGGGAGTACATCAGCATGGTATCTGGCAAGCCAGGAGTGAGCTCTCTTTGCTGTTGTCTGAACCAAGCAGGAGCTGTGTAATTAGCACTGATAATTTTAATTGAACTAATAGAGTCTTTCCTTGTGTAGCTTATATGAGTTTATTTAAGGATCACGGAATTGTTGAAGTTGGAAGGGACCTCTTGAGATCACCTCGTCCGATCTACCTCCTCATGCAGGATCAGCTACAGCAAGTTGCTGAGCACAGTGTCCAGTTGAATATCACAGATTGAGATTCAGACAGGTGACAATTTTGTCCATAGTCTTCCATCAGTGTGGGTACCACAAGACTAAATTTTCTATTTCCCTATAAAATAGTCTTATACAGTAAAGAACAAAAAATCCTATTTATACAGAGATGAAGTGTATATTTAAGGACACAAATAACCCCAGACTGATCAATCCCATAGGACTTTTTTCAAATACGTAATAGAGGAGTGTTTTTTACAAGTGTTTTCTAAGATGATAAATTAGTCATCTCAGCATGAGATGAGTGATACTGCAATGACATCAGAGCAGAGCAGTATTCATGGTAACGATGATGTACCTCCTTGCCTTTTGGACAAGGAAGCTACTTTGCTTAGCTACCTGCTACTTTGGAAGTCTTCAGTTTCCCAAATCAGATGGAAAAGACCAGGATATAATTTTTCTAGAAACTGAACGTGACCTTGTTCTAATAAATTACAGCTAGGAATGCATCTCAGTCTCTCTCATTCCTCAATAAGGTTAACATGTTTTCTGCTCAAGCAATGTGTTCCCGATATGTCACACTATGATGTGTCTGTTAGCATGACTACTATACTAAATAAGTTTTTGTAAATTTTTAAGACCTTTTCAAAAATATGACCTGGAAACATGAGAATGCCTATGTAAAAGTGTTACACACTACAATACAGTAAGGTTTCGCCACTTTTCTTAACAACTGTAGGATACAGTCCTTAAATGCCTTGCAAATAATCATATACAGGAAACTATTTCTGCTCAGCAGAAGATTGTGGAGAACAGTAAAAATCATGAGCACAAGTTAGGTGAAGGCATGGTACATTGCCTTGCTTATGTAGCAAGGTAATTCTGTCCTGCTGGGTAACCACAGGAATATCCTTCTAGCTCACTTTTTCTCTATTACTTGATTTGGAATGTACTATCCTATTTTTCTCTTTTCCTTCTAATTTGAAGCCTTATAAAGAAAATGGATGTTTTCAAATATAGGTAAGTCCACTCCCAGGTCAAGAATCTTAGTATTTCTAATAAGGCTGTTATAAAATAATGGCATAATTTATTGTTTTTCAAAACATGAAGATCAACAAATAATCTTAATTCCATTCTATATGCACATGTATTTCACTAGTCATCTTATATATATGATTTTTCTGCCTCACTAACACAGCTTGGTCAGTGGGTTGGTAACACAGTGAATGAGGCAACAGTTCAGTGTTTGTTTTTATCCCTTTTAATTACAGTCTCATCTTTTGAAGTACATTAATTTACTCAGGTGATTTACTAATCAGATTTACTTTGCTGAGAACAGTACCATGAGCCAAATGCCACTGGCTGCTTTATCATACAGTTCAAATCAAAGACACAGAAACTCAACAGTTTTTAGCATGTTGCATTATACTTAATGATCATACAGTTAATGTATAGTTACAATATATGCAAGACATTCCCAGAGAAACAAAATTATTTTACCATTGAGTTTAGTAGTAGAATCCTTTCAATTCTATAGCATGATTTGCCCTACTGGTTGACCTATGTTGAATTATTAAACTTTACTGTTCAAGTGTATCCTAAATTGATCTACTGAGAAAACAATTATCTTGCAGTTTTTGAAAGACTATTTCCTTGGGGACAGAGGGACCAAAGTGTGGAGGTTTTCAGTAATCATCTGTAATACTAAGAGCACTCAGCAACACTGTATGAAGTATAACAGCAGAGGAAATAGAACATCATGCTAGTAGGAACATTTTGGGGAAAAAAATGCAGCAGAAGGACTTTGAAGTTGTAGAAGCAGATTTTCTTGAGAAGAAAACCTTATGTGAATGTGTTTTATTTGGAATCTTCCTACTACCTTTAAAATCTTCTACTAAGAAAAGTTCAGAATATTCCTGATTTTCTTTCTTTTCCCAGATTTTATTTTTTGTTGCAAATCAGTAGCAAACAATTGCACATATCTGTGCCAACTTTCTCACATATATAGATAAAACACACATATCTATGGACAGACTATAAAGAACATGCCTCACTTAAACATAATGGCTATTCATTCTAATTCTTAACGAGGGCAGTGTGATGCCAATCTGGATTGTAACATGTATGCACAAAGGCTGTGCCTAGATTAGGATATTAAACAAAGCCAGAGAACATTCCTGGGTACTGCAATTTACCAATGTGTAATGTCAAATGTTAGAAGTGTTTCTGGCATGGTTTTGGCACAAGCATTCTCCCAAACAATTCTGGGCATGCTTTGGTAATTAACACGTTCCAGAAACTACTTGCAATAGGCAGTTTATATGCAACAACCCGCTTCTGGAAAGAAAAAGCTGAATACTGAACCAGAGGAAGGTCGTGGCCATGTTTAATTAGCTAGCATAAACATCACCTGGAAATGCCACATCAAATCTCTTTCTCAAAAAAAGAAAAAAAATCACTGGAACAAAGAATGAGTCTAGGAGGGAAAAGAATAGAATCTGAACTCTACTTTGTACCTTAACATAACAAGATCACTACTATCACAGCTTTTTGCCAAATTAGAACTTTACATACTTGTACTGTTCCATTAGCTGCACTGCCTGATGCTCCTGGGGGTGGCGCCTCATATGGCATTTCAAGCTATTCATATTTGTGGTGGCGAAGTCGCATACTCGACATCTAAAGAGACAACAAGAAGTAACTAATCTGACAATTAACTGCTAACACTATTCCTGAAATAAAAATCTATGAGAGGAAAGACTGCAGTTAAAGACTAACAATATTTGCAGAAGTCCAAGCGATGACATTAACTCACTAGGCATATGGACTATGTTCCTCTCTGACATCTATCTTGTGCATGTCTACTGAAGTTGGTAAGCATCACAAAGTATAAAGGAGATGTGGATGCACTTGAATGGATGCAGCCCTGATGCAAGTTGCTCGACTGTGTTATACAAAGGCAGAATATGACCATAAGCTATAAGAGACACTGTATTTAGAAGTCTTGTTCCTCAAGAATATGTGTTCTACGTAATGCAACAACTTCGTTCATCATGACATTTAAAAAGCCAAACTATCTGTTTAATAATAAAACATCTGAAGTTTCAGAGCATTATACCTGAAATAGAAGTCAGGGACAAGATCATCACATTTAGGTTCAAGTGCCCTAAGACAACTGAGTCACATCATGCTGTCTAACTATTACTTTTTTACTTCTGTCATAGTATCTTTGTATAAAAACAATATATAGAACAGTCTGGATCTAGATTTACACCCATGGATTTAGATCCCAAAGTATTACACAAAATATTACGCTATTCATATATACCAGTATACTTCCACACAAGCTTCTTGTGTAGAACATATTGAAACAGAAGCCATCAAGCTGAGCTAAAACTCTGCATATGTTAGGACTTTAGTTGTTTCTTTTTTTGAAATGGTAAAATGTCCAATATTTATTAAGTCTGGTCTATAGTGTGAAACAGTTTGAGACTGCAGGATGCTTTGAGATTACTCACTTTATTTTTGAAAGGATTTAATTGTGCAGTATTAAAATCCATAAGGTATCAAATTACAAAAAAATGCATCATTGGAGACTATACAGTTTAATTTCCAGCAATTTTTGTCAACCAAATAATAAAATATGTTTAGAACTATTAAAATGTCAGCAGTATAGTAGGTTGCTATCTGATAATATGGAAGGCTTGAGGAATACATGTTTCAGGAGAAATACCATAAATACTGGATCTTTATGGTTTTTAGGCTGTGGCTTAAGTGTCCTACCAGGTCTGCAGATTTGTCTAAGGGGTTTATGAAAAAATAGTAAGAAAAGTGAGCCAGATCAGTAGGCTTAAATTTAGTATGCAGCAGTCTATATCACCAATGGAAAAATCGGTGATATAGGCTGGCTAACAGGCTGGCTAACACCAATTCAGAAAACTACCGTATATAAGACACGCTACAGTATTTGCTGTTCCAAGCCCACTAAATAACAAATAATGGCAATAGGGAAGATTCTGAGGAGAAAAAAAAAATCTATTTGTATTTCACATTTGCTCTCTGAGCAAACACCTTGCAAATTATTGCTAGTGTTATAGGATATCATTATAATGCACAAATCAGAATACAACATGTCTTCTGGGTTTGTTTATCCAAAAGAAAAATTCCCTGGCTAAGCTCAGCATTTCAAGGTGTTGAGTTTCCAGAATTTGTATTAAAAGATAAAGTATATTAGCTCAAAAATTCTATTAACTCAGATCTATGTTCTAGCCACTAGAGAGGGACAGAGATCCACACTGAATGAGCACAGATTGAATTTGCAGGAATTTATGCAGGAACCAATAGAAAATGCATGATTTATTTTTCTGCTGGGGATCTGAACTATAGTATTACATATGATTTTAGATATCAAAGTTTCTCTATAAATCTATGTAACATCCTTGTAGAAAAGTTATAAAATCTGATCCTAAGTGAGCATGTTAATATTGTTTGAAACTGTGAAAAAGATGAGTGGACTGGTGACAAGAAAAAGGGCAGAATTTCGCCACACTCTGTAAAAGCCAATGTGCAAAGTAGCAATATGACAATGGAGAACACCTTGTATTAAAGCAAATCCAAAATAACCTTAAGTGAGCAAAGGATTCAAGAAATATATTATTACTATTGGCCAAAGTTCAATATTACAACGTTATTATTTTCCTTTCCACATCTGAATGCTTCAAACTGAAAACAGGCAGTAGACTGCTATAGCAAAAGATGCATCCTGGAAAAGCTAGTAAATCTTAATTACATAGTTTGAGTCAACCAGCAAGTGTAGCTCCTTCAAATTGGCAGTAAAATTATGTAATTTAAATCCTTTAACAGTATCGTCAAAATTGCATGAGCAATTAAGCTACCTTTTTAGTTAAAATAAGTAAACCAAACAGGTGGCATTAGCCAGCAATAATTGAGACACTTACCTATATGGCTTATCGGAGTTATGAATTCGTCTGTGATTTCGTACACCAACATAAGTTGTGCTTGTGTAGTCACATACATCACATCTATACAGTTTCTGAACTGAAGACTTATTTCCTATATGAAAAAAAAATCCATTATTTTAGAGTTGCATTCAGCATTGCAAGAAGTTCTCAGATGATAATTTCAGCACAACTGAATTACAAAACATGAATTAACATTTTAAAGTAATACTTCTAAATTTCTATAAATATTTAATGCTTTCAAAGCCTCTGGAGCAAACTGGCAATGGCCATAGAGATAATAAAGGTATAGTTTATTTACTATGTTGTTCTGCATTCTCTCTAATATTTACTGAAATTATTAAAATTTTAGGAAAATGCATTCTTTCTCCCTGTGTGGCCACTTCCATTCTTCCTGCAGTTGGGTTAAAATCCTGTGACAGCAAAAGGTGATAAAATGTGGGAACTGCTGAACCCAGCAGTTTCACTGCTTTGCGGAATGAATAAAAAAAAAACCCAAAAAACAAAACAAAACAAAAAAAAAACAACCACGATGGGCATTGAGAAAGGACAAGTTTCCAACTGGCAAACATAGAAAAGAAAAAGGCCTCCAGAAGCACCTAAGCCCTCTTTGTCATCCACATACACTCACACTTTCAGAAGGATCTGAGATGATAAGAAAACAGGTACTACCTGTGTGTGTAAAGAAATAATTTGGAACTTCTCCATATTACTAAAAAGCAATTGTTAACAAAAATATTTTTTTCTTTCTAGAATGAAAGACACTCTTGAAAAATTAATGATTGCAGAGACAAAGGTTAATGACTAATATAGGCAAATATGTGCCCGCCAGTGAGCAGTTTGAATATTTTGAGATGCGTGTGGACTTAAACAGCCCTATTCCTTCTCCCTCACTGAATAATGGAACTGATTTGAGTTAAAATACTAACATTAGGGAAGAGGGATGGTATTTTTTATGCAGGTCATTTTCCCATTCCAGCCTATCATGAAGCCTTCATGCACTCCTCAAATGAGGGAACAGGACAAACATGATGGAATGCCAAGGTTGGAGCTGTTTATATCAGCACTACTGCCAAAAGAAACATTGAACTAAAATCAGTTTTCTTTCTGCATCTAACATATTCACTAGTCTAAGTAATTCTACTTTACTTTTTTTTTTTTTTTTGAATTGCAAGTAAGGTGCTCAAGTTAATTTTATCTTTACACCAAATTCTTATTAGCTGGCTGAATAGTCAGGCCATCACTCAGTTACATACATGGGCTTTGAAGAAACTCTGATAGAGATCCTTGGAGAATTTCTTTGGTGGCTAAAAATCATTACTAAAGTACATCCCCAAACCAAAATAAATACACAGTTCAGTAAATAATGTGTGAGAGACTAAGGAAAGCTCAAATCTTGCAAGAACATACTTCAGAAACTCTTCGTGCTCATATGAAACACATCTCCAGCACAAACAAATAATTAGTTTGTGTTGTGAAGGGGTTTACTACGAGTAGGATACACCATAAGATTCTAGGTGGATCAGAAAAGGGTGTATTAGGTGGACACTTTTTAGTATACTGATATTGCCTTAAAAACTCCAATAATATCAGCAGGTGATCTACTTCTCAGGCCTCCTAGCTCCTTCCCAAACCAAAAATAACTTCCCTCCCTGACAAAGGTTAAGTTCTGATTTCCCAAATGAGACCCTCTGATCTGAATCCTGAAGAATTCTGTTAAAGTCTTGTCAAGGTCAAGAGCACTGAAGGTTCATGTCACACTGAGAGAAGGTCTATCTGCCACTGTTTGATTTGTAGTTTGAAAAGACAACCAAGATTGAAATTTGAAATAAGTGACTACCCCAAAAGATGAAAAGTAGACTTTTTAGACATATCTCTGCTTAGGTCCAAATACCATGAACTTACTTACAGTTTGGAGTAATAAAAACTGACCAAAACCCTCTCCCTTATCACCTCCTAAATTCCAATTCTTTTTAGCTAAAAATGAAAGGAATGGGATGAGCAGATTGAATTCAGGAGAAACTGTAGAGTTTATCAAAACCAGAAATTCCATCTCCTGAGTCCAAAATACTAAAGAGATTTTGTAAAGATAATTTTGTTCTGGAATTTCCTCTTGATGACGCTGGACTCCAATAACACAGACTGAATCTCTTCATTACTAAAGCAACAAATAAGAATCCTTATGGTAAAACTCTTCTAAGGAGACACCGCAGAATAAACTAGTAGAATGAGTCACCCAAAATGGAAGTTCAACTTTTCACTTTGATTTTTTTTTCCACAGGTGGGCACTGAATTATGTCAAAAAAGTTATATTATTCTGAGGGATACTGTCACCAGCTAACTTAAACAGCAAGGGGAAATTACCACCAGTTAAACTTTGACTCCAAAATTCAGCACTTCTGGTTCAAGACACAAAGTAATTAGGTAGGGCTGATAACTACAGAGGATTTTTCTGAAGAATATATAGTATGGCTATAAAATAAAATAGCAATCTGAATACAAAGACAGTATGAAATAAAATTTGAATAATTCTGTGTGTACCAAGATAACAGAAAAAATATTTCATATTTTTTACTTTAAAATGTGACACAGTGCTCAGTCTTCTAGCATTCTTATAAATAATAATATGGAAGTAATATATAACATGCACTCTTTGCACAGCAATCTTAAAGCAAAATATGTCAGAATTTTTCCTACAATATGCTCATACAGTAAAATTTATGAGGTTTTTGTCAATGTAAGTTATCAAAAAAATCTTAATTATATACTAGGAGACTTTGGAATTTACATTTCTACAATTATTCTTTTATGAATTCACATTTATGTAGAAGACCTAAAATGAATACAAAGACACTTACTGAGCTGCAGATCTATGGGAGAGCAGGGGTTGTGTGAAGGTTAAGCTATTGCATGCTCTACTTGAATGGGTTTTCCATCTTAAATTCCGCAGCTTTAGAATAAACTGCTTCCAAATGTATTTTCTGTTACGAATTTGGTATTTTATTGGGCAGGCAGCTTAAAACAAACAGTATCTAATGAGATTTTTAAAGAGTTATACAAACATATTATATATTGCATAGTTCTAAGTGGCTAACCACCCAGTAGCGCACACTTAAAAGCAATTATTTATACCAATTACTATTTTATATTTATTCCTTCAACAAAATGCACATAAATTATAAGACATCATATAATCTCTTGCTGTTATGAAATAGCTGTTGTGTCCCCCACCCCCTCCACTGGCTTATTTCTTGTGGGTTTGGGGCCTTTTTTTTCTTTTTGGATGGAGGATATCAGGTCTCTTAAAAGTGAACATGGAAATGACAGATCTTTGTTCTAGAAGCAGTAACAGGTGCTCCTGTAATGCTGCTTATTACCCTATTCCTTCATTATTAGACATTTACAATCTGATCATATCCAGTGTCATAATGCTCCCTTTTAATTTATTGTGCAACCATGATGAATAAAGAGACTTTTAGGACTAACTATTTCATAAACAAGAAATGAAACTGTTCCAGCTCAGGCATCTTTCACATAAACAGATGCTATGCCATAAACTTCTTTGTTTTGTGTCGTTTTATAGGGATGACATCTGTTTGACAAGAGATTGCTGTACTGCAGTGGTGTTGCAATTTGATTATAAATTGGTTCTGAAATAATTTAAGCATGCCACAGTATGAGTTAATAAAAGTTTAAAAGGAGAACTGTTTTCATTCAAGCCACATTACTAAATTTCATGTGGGGTAAACAATCAATTAAACTGCATGGCTGTAACACTTTTATAAGATAATAATCAGCAAAAATTTTTTAAAAAGTCTCTAAAGTAATTAAATTGAAAGCAGGCAGTTTTCTTGAATAGGGTCTCCTCTTTTGTGGAAGTTATGTTACAAGATCAGGATATAAACTCTAAAACCACCTTATTAAAACATACTGTTTTCAAAAGCAGATGATCATACAGGACTAGATCAAAAGGTACACTATTCTGCAAACTCTGACATGTTTCAGGCATTGAAAGCTAGTTATTCCTGTATCATGACATCTTTAAAAATATTGGTTTAAAACAAACAAAACATTGTCAGAAGTAATAGTCCAAGCTGTGCTCATAGGTATTTGTAACCAGCTAAACTAACAATGTTTTCACAGAATCATCTAGATTGGAAAAGACCTTGATCACCTAGTCCAACCATTAACCCAGCACTGACAGTTCCCAACTACACCATATCCCTCAGCGCTGGGTCAACCCGACTCTTAAATACCTCCCTGGGTAGCCCACTCCAGTGCCTGACAACCCCTTCTAGAGAGAAATACTTCCTAATATCCAGTCTTCCCTGGCAAAACTAGGGCCATTCCCTCTTGTCCTATTGCTTGTTACTTGGTTCAAGAGGCTCATCCCCAGCTCTCTGCACCCTCCTTTCAGGGAGCTGTAGAGGGCCATGAGGTCTCCCCTCAGCCTCCTCTTCTCCAGACTAAACCCCCCCAGTTCCCCCAGCCGCTCCCCGTACGACCTGTGCTCCAGACCCTGCCCCAGCTCCGTTGCCCTTCTCTGGACACGCTCGAGTCATTCAATGGCCTTTTTGGGGTGAGGGGCCCAAAACTGAACACAGGAATCGAGGGGCGGCCTCACCAGTGCCGAGCACAGGGCTCAGATCCCTTCCCTGTCCCTGCTGGCCACGCTAGTGCTGACACAAGCCAGGATGCCATTGGCCTTCTTGGCCCCCTGGGCACACTGCTGGCTCCTGTTCAGCCGGCTGTCAATCACCCCCCAGGTCCTTCTCTGACTGGCAGCTCTCCAGCCACTCCTCCCCAAGCCTGTAGTGCTGCTGAGGGTTGTTGTGGACGAAGTGTAGAACTCTATTTTTATTTCCTATCACTTCCATTAAAACATTTATGCTATTTCTTTTGGGAAAAAAGCCCATTACTTAATGGGGAACATTCCCACTACCAGCAGACCCTCCCTAGCCTTTTTCCTGTCTCCCCCAACTTCAGATGGCTCTCTCAGGCTTAGGTCTTAGGGGTGTAACAAGCACCACAGACCAATTTCCTGATTTTATGTGCCTTCTGCATTGATGAGAGCAAAAAAGGAGTTGGGAAGGGTCATTTTACCTGAGGCAGATAAGGTAATAAACTTTTAAGTTTCTAACTTGTATACTGAAAGCCACAAAAGAGGCAGCATGAGCTAAGAGAACAGAATTCAAGAGGTAAGGATCTCATTCTATTCTGACAGGTACCATGTTGCTTTGGACAAATCATTAATGGTTCAAGCCATTCACCCCAGCTCATGCTGGTTAGTACCTTTTTTTCACAAGCAGTTGCATCAATTTAAATGATTACTTTCACACTCACTGGTCAGCTGTAGAGGTAAGAGTAGAACCCAGAAATTCGAACTGCAATCTATGCATTATTATAGTGTACATTTTGCTATCTAAACAAATAAGAGACCATAGTTAGGACAGAAAGCTATGTGCACAAAATGGAAATACTTCGGCCCACGATTGTTCAGAGCTGATAAAATTACTAGTATTTTTCCACAGTGGTCTAAAATTTCAAATACTAATAATTACAGTGTTGCCTTCAGAATAAAAATGCTGTAAATATTTTCAGTAACTTTAACTCAAAGGATGCAATCAAGTTGCAATAATAAATAATCAGGCCTCCAGGCTACTTGAATGATTTTAAGACCACATTTTCTCCTCAACTTCAAAACTTGGCTATTTCTCCCTATTTCACTGCCTTAACACATCACAAGTTTGGGGGTTTTTGTTGTTGTTGCTTTTAAAACAAACTTTATTAAATTATAAGCAGATACACAGTTAAACAAACATTTAGAAAATGCATACCTACTGTTACCCTGGCAACTATTATAGATACAGGTGGCATTTTTAGAATGCCTTATGTTTGCCTCTCTAGGATTAAAACAAATGACTCATTTTGGACATTACTATAATTAAACAGAAATTTCTAAAGACAGAATGGATGGTATTGTATGACCACTGACACCAGACTACATTACCACAGTGAGTTTAAAAAAAGGTTTTCTTTTGTTTACTGCTGGTGACTTGGAAAATACTGTAGCTGCTGAAGGAAGGAAAAAAAGATTTTTTTTTTTGTCTTAAAAATTCATAGTAATACTCCATACCAGTTGTTTTTCATGAGAAGATATACGAGGTCAAATTACAGGGGCTAAAAATGTCTTACCTACCAATAAACGTAATCTCAAAACTGACTATGCTAAATTTTCCACACTGAAAAGAACATACATTTAAGGTTATGAACAGGCATGAAAACATTTCAGCATGAACGAGGTCTTAAAACCAGTTTTATACAAATATAGAAAACAAGTAATGTTATGAGTGACTTTTTGTAATTTCAGGTGTAAATATAAACAGTACCTTCTCTTTCATCTACTTCGTTGGAAACTATTAGTTTGTTAGATGTAGCTGTTGAAAAGATATCTGGAAGACTGTGTTGTTCTCTTTCATGATTTCGCAGTTGGCTCTGAAAAAACAATTTCCCACATTTAAATATACCCTACAAACATACACTGGTCACTTTAAATATTGCAGTAATTTGTAACGTTACGCAAGTTTTAATAACTGTTAAAAATGTATGTTAACATATATACAGATTATCCCTCAGGTAATTTTACTAGAAACAAAACAAAGTAAGTAGCATTAATTAATAACATATAGGATTGATTGATGAGAGCGACTGAGAGGATTATTTTCCCCCATTCCCATAGACAAGTGGCAAACAGTTTTTCCTCCAAAATTATTATACTCCAAAAGCAGCATTGGATTAAAAATTAGATGATGGCTTGTGTGAAAATCGACTCAATTTTCATATTGCCTAGTGACTTAAGAATAGGCTATTCCTGTTTCTACTTGCCTGGGGAGAAGAGGGGAGAGAGCACCTTTTGCTACCCTAGCTGTACATTTTTTCAAACTAGGACTAAACAATACTAAACATGGGAAAATTTGCATTACCATTGCCTACAAGAGTTTCAGTTGTACAGCTAGATACTATGCTATCTATTCTATATTCCTGAGTACTGAACGGAGTATGTGGGAACACACTCAGCAGCAGTAATACTTAAAATATATATAAAAATGACATTAGTACATTATTCTGCTCTCATCTGTAATTCACCCTTTCAGATCCAAATTCTACAGAACATCCAGACCAACACAACAACAGACAAAAAAAGAAAATAATTTCTGCTTCGGGGTGTCTCATGTTACCCTCAAACACCACGATTACTTTTGTACACACTCACAACTAATGGGCATGTCTGAGCATTCTTTTAAAGTTTCAACTATTAAGTTCTCTGATGCTTCCATTTCTTCCTGTAGTTGCTACACATGGGCAGAAAAACAACACGGTATCAATACATCCGTAAGACAGTTCTCTTTTAGAGAAGGAAAATAACTTATGTGAGGAAGCAAGTTTATTTCAGTGGGTAAAGCAGAATAGTTACAGCTGAATTACACATCTGAAAAGTGCTGCTGGCAATAATCCCCAATTGTAACGACAATGAAGCCAGGATGTCAGACTGAATTAAGTTAGAAGGAGGGATCACCAGTTATGAAAAAAGTAGCAAAATAGGTTATTCAGCTATTACAGACACAGGAAAGAAGTTTACCTTATAATGAAAAGATTCTTCACATTGCTTGCACTGATACATTCTTGTTTTGCAGTGGTTGATCATATGGCTCTCTAAATCCTTACTATTGCCAGCAATGTGTTCACAGATAGGACACTGGTACGGCTGCCTCTGACGATGGACTCTCAAGTGTTGTTTTATGTAGCCTTTATTACCACTGCTATAATGGCAGAGGCGACAGCGGTACGGTCGATCTACATTAGGTATATATTCTACTAGGTTACTTCCAGGAATATTTGTGTCATTTGCATTTTGGCATTGTGCATTGTCTTGTAATTCTTTCAAAATGTCATCATCAGAAGCATTCTGATCTGTTCTCTCCTTCAGTTTTTCAATGACAGTGAGTAGTGACATACTGATGCCCATTTTAATTGGTGCTTCTGATAATTCTTGCCTTTCTTTCTGTATCTCAACTATTGCACATTCACTTTGGTTTAAGCCACTAAACTCCTCTGAAGGATTCTTAAGAGAGGATACCATTTTAGAATGAGCCATACATGGGCCATGAGCTTCTCCCTGCCCTGCACCTGCATCCACAGCATCTTCCCCAGTCAGAGTCCTTAAGCCAGACCTTGTTAGTTCTGCAGCTCTGATAGGCATTGTAACAAGAGCTTCTGCAGCTAGTGAGTGTAATCGTAAAGACTCTGAATTCGTCCTTCTTCGTGCAGGAGGTACATTTTCATCAGATGTTACATTTTTATTAGAGCTTAATTCATTATCTTTCTTCTCAGCATTGTTCCATCCTATTATTACTTCTTGAATTTCATTTGAACGATAAACTTCTTCAGGTTCTTCACAGGTAACATTGGACTCCTCCGAGATTAATTTTTTTTCTGCTTCAATGTCTGCATTCATCAAGAAAGGCTTTTGTAAGACACTTTCTTCAGCACCTGGCAAACGCTCTACTATTACATTAACATGACCCTTTTTATTTGGACTACAATTGATGATTTTCTGTGCGGATGAAAGTAGGCTATCAGTAATCATATTATCCTGTTCTGTATCTGATACAGTCTCCTCTATAACCTCTGTAGTAGGAGAATGCACTACAGACTGCTTTAACATGTCTTCCTCTTTTAAGTTTGTTCCTACTGGTGATTTACATGACAGTTGCTCAGAATTGCAAATCTGAAGTTGAAGAGAAGGTTCACTACGGATATCAAGTTCATTGTTTTCCAAAGAAAGAACAACTGTATCCACACTATGAGGTGTGGGAGTTACAACCATCTCTGACGAGTTGGTAGTTTCATTTTCTTCCTCAAAGATAGGATAGGAGCAATCAACCTCACCCGCATGTTTCCAAGCATGTGTTTTCAACATTCTTTGCTGACCACAAGTGTACCGACAAATTAAACACCGGTACATGCCATACTGCTCATAAGTATACCATTTTCTCCTACCCATTTCAGGCATATGAGTAGACTGAGTTACATCTTTACATTCCCGATTTCCTGTCTGATCAGTCCCTGATTTTATATTTCCTTCCACTGGCCCTTGTAAAAATGAACTTGTGACATTTACACATTGCTGCACTTTTGTCTGGATGCTATTTTTACGATCATTCTCGTGGTAGTTTTGGAAATGAGATTCAAGTTCTTCTTGGCTTTTGGATGCAAAATGACATTCTGAGCACATTAATATCACTTCGTTTTTTTGCCCATGTTGTTTTATATGTTCTTGTAGTGTTAAGAGAGAAGGTGATAGAAACTTACATAGACTACACTGGTAGCACGTCACTTTCTTTTTGCTTTGTGGAAGACATTCAGTCACAAAATAATCTGCTTGTAACTCTTCAGTCTTTTTGGTAGCAATAACAGATAGCTCAATTGCTTTAGCTGGGATTTCACAAAGATCATCTGTATCAAAGGGCTGTGCAGAACCATTAGAATGGGAACGTTTTTTCCCTATTAAGAGGCATCTTTGTGACTTCTCACTTTCAACTATTTTGCTTAGTTTCTGGATAACATGGATTAGTGGATCAGTTTTACATTTTCTCTGATCTTCACTGTTCTGCAGTGTTGGGCCAATGACTGTTTCAGAAATCAGCACAGCTTCCTGTTCCCCAATATTTGGCATCAATACTGCAACACTACTTCCTTCTTCCATAATACCTAGGAGAAAGAGTTTTATAAAAAAGTAAAATTTATACATGCACAATAATAAAAATACAACCCAGTACTATTTAGATTTCCCCCTCTACTAAATATGGAAGCCTGATGCCACTAAATTAATAAAAACTTTTAGAATGGCTATATAAATAAACAAAGATTTTGAGGACATTTAGTAAACAGTGTAGAAGCTGTTCAATACAGCTGGACAGAATGATTCCAGGAGAGCCTATAACAGCCTACCTCCGAGCTGTACAAGGGCAAGATAAATATTTTTCAAGTATAGGATGATTAGCATTGTTACAGCTATTGTCTTTTTCTTCACAAGGACTACACATTTGAGTGCTAGACACTTAGATGAACCAATCAATAGTAACTGGCATATTTATGTTTAAAAGCCACAATACCATATGAAAATGTATTCCTAACATACTTACTGTGATACACTGATGTGTCCTAAAGTAAACAACAATTTGAAATAACATAATTTACAAAAATAAGCCTTTTTTTTCCTTGAAATGTTAGAAAAAGAAAGTAGTCCTGATATTTACTTGTATTAGTCATTTTGCTATGATCATATTAAAGACCATTCAAATGTCAAATCATACTTATTATTATAAATGTAATTTTCTAGAAAAACTACTAATTGTAGCTTTTTCTACAGTTCCTTAATTGTAGCTCAAATCAATTGATACTAAAGTTATAAAGGGTAATTTTTTTCTTTCGAGGGAAAGCTAAAGGCAGTAACTATTTCCACTTACACTTCCTCTAAACATATCTAACCATAAACCACAGGCAATAATGTGGTACTGTTGTAGGTTAAATTAGAAGGCAATATGTATACATTTACATGAAATCATACTTTGTGATGTGGACAAAGCTGTGGGGCGAGGGGTGGAGGAGCTGGACAAAACGTCTTATAGTGAAATTTACTTCTGAAAAAAAAAGCTATTCAAGTTCCACTATATATGTACACATATTTTACACACAATACTTATTTTTATATACTATATATAAAATCTATAACTTAAAGAAATGACAGATATTTCTTTTATCAGTTATCCTTGAAAATGTATCCCAAGTTCTTTCATGTGTTTTTTTTTTCTTTTTTTTTTTTTTCAAGAAAGATACACAGGCCAAACCAGAACTTCCAGAACTGGTCCTAAAGACCCATGAAAACCACTCTTTTCTACAGTGATACAATGAACAGACATGGCAGTGGGTTTTGTGGTGTCCCTTTCCCAATATAAAAAACTCTGGGCAGAACTACTCAAGTTACCTTTATTTGGCATTAGACTTCCAATTCAGGTTATCATCAAAACTATCAATATAAGCAATGTTAAGTACTATTCACACCTCACATGCTCATGTAAAATATTCCATGTTGAAAATGCAGCAATATTTGTCAATTTAACAAAGACAAGACTACTGTCTTCAATGCTATTATTTTTCACTGTCAGTTCAAACATTATTTACTTGGTAATGGCCAAAATCTACATTAAAATTGAAAAATTAATAAAATATAAAGCCATAGGGAAATTGGATCCATGATAACAAGAAAACAAAGCTACATAAGGCCTTATGCTTTTAGCTAGATCTGTGTAAACAGATTAACAATGATCAATACTGCACTCCAATAGATCAATTGTAGGAGGTATAAATTTAAAAATAAATAAATTTCAAACAAAAAAATTTATCATTTTACATAAGAGTATATGAAATAGCCTGCTTATTTAATTCAAGTTCGGTATCTTCTTATTAACATGAATCAATGTATGCATCCACAGAGTTACTATTAAACTGAAACATCCAAGTATTTAACCTTTTAAATATAAACCAGTGGATGCCTCAATGTGCATTTTCTGCTTCTATTTCTATGATCCGTTTGGCACAGTATATTGAATGACTAACTCTTGTCTATGTGGCTAAGACAAATTACACCCCTTTCATGTAGTATCTCCAATTACATATTAACCTAAAAGAAGTGTAAGGTTATTATTTGAGAACCGTCTTATTATATTAAAATACTTTGCAGTGTGTTTCATGCTGGCTGTAATATGTTTATGAAAAGTACACAAATGTGCTTTTTTCCTTGAAAGCAGATTAACCTTACATGAAGTGCTCAAAGGAATGTCTACTTGAAGTATTTTCAATTTGAGAATGAATTAAGTATAAGCACATGGTGCTACTTTAAATTATACTCAGTACTTTTAAAACTTTGTAAATAATGCTAAATAGGCAAATATTTCCCCTACTTTTTTCATCTGAAAGTAGCATAGAAACTATGAGGAAAGATCCTAGACAGACCATTAAAGAAATACTCTGCCACATACTACTGCTATGTCAAAAATGAAGAGAAGGGAGTACCTTCAGATGTATTGCTTTGGGGTGCTTGTAGTGGACCTCAGTTATTAGATGTGTAACTACAGTGTGTATGTGTTATGTCATTCTTTGTTCAGCGTAAGTTTGATGCTTACTGCTGACTTTGTTTTTTACTACAGACTTTGGATTTTAGAGGGATGGTAAGAATTGTACACAAAATCTGGATTTTAATAACTACATCGCTTTCTCTAAGAACAAAGATTATTCAATCTCCCATGACATAAAACTTCAGTTCGGCAAATGGCTCTGCCAGCATGTACCCTTTAAACGACCTACACAGTAATTAAAATACGGGGCCTGGGGATGACAAGGGGCCCCAAGGGGAAGATCCAGACCACGCCTCTGCGCTGAAGCGTCCCGTTCCACACGTGTCAAACACCCACTCGAGCAGCACTGCACAGGCAGAGTGAAATGCCTCCAGGTCTAGCAAAAGCCAACCACCGCTTTGCACAACAATCTAACTCGGAGAGGCCGGTCTGATAGCATCGCAGCTCCGCAGGGCTGGGGAAACTTCACCAGCGGGAACTCTGTGCTGCCAATTGTTCCTCCCCGCCAGCGGAGCCCCTGTCCCGGGACTGCACCTCGGGGACGTCTGGTCGCGGGTTCGCGACCCCCCCCTCCTGCGGGACCCCCTCCTGCTCTGGCCTCAGCGGTCTCCGCCAGCCACCCCCGCACCTGCCGCCACTCCCCGGCGGCCTCCGCTTGATACCGCGCAGGTG